CGAAAGCGAAAAAAAATTTGTAGGTTTAATAAAACAGGAACGTTCTCAAAAACTAGAATTTTATAGATCTTTTAAAAAGATCATACCACTTCTAAGGATCCTCTAATTACTAAACTTAACAAGAGGAACAGCTGAGAGAAGGGCTTTAGTATAATTACGAATACGCAATCACAAACCGCTAGAACTTGGTAGATACAATCAAATAACAGGCATTGCCCTCTTTGTGGATCCAATCAAATAAAAGACGAAGTTCACTTTCTTTTTCATTGTTCTATATACTCTATAATTATGAATAATTTTTACAAGAAAGTCAAGTTTCTGATAAACGTTATGATCAATGAACTGATGAATTCCTCTTTATTCACATACAGTGCATGAAATATACTAGTATTTCAGCCTGCTTTGATTTTTTTGACAAAAAATTAACAAAGTAACTTAATTTTCCTGTTATGAAATTTTAGTTCTTCTTCTTAAAATAGGTTTTGTAATACTATTCCTAGTCGTATGGTCACGGAAATAAAGCTTGTTGTTCTTGTTGTTGTTGTTGGATACCTCTGGAAGCGCTCGTCCTGTCGCAAAACGATAAAATTATCGAAAATTACTTCCCAAGATCGAGGCCTACATTCCAAGGAGGGGGTGAGTCCCTTGAGGAGGGGTTTGGAAATGCTCGTCGGAAAATTGGAATTAAACCCCTCAGGGAAATCTGGACGTGACTCGTGATTTATAGAATTATAAATCCCGTCCACAACATCATCATCACCATAATCGTCGCCGTGTAGCCATGTGGTCAAAACGTTGAAGTTTCTCTCAATTCTGTTGTTTTAACAAGCTGTTATTATCATAATTATTATCTTAATTTATTCAGATTGAAAATCAAATACATGGCAGTCTTTGCCAGGTTGGCTACATAATAGAGCCGTCAGTAAGTTGGCGTGGGAGTGTTTTTTATCCACCTTGCAGAGTCACATTCCAAACATAAATGCCATAACTTGAGATATCTATTACAATAAAAACCGGGTTGTCTTCATATTGGCCCCTCGTTGATTTTCCGTAATGGAAATTTAAGAAAGTCATTCTTAGGGCCTGTTTACATGGAGGTGGGGGAACCCAGGTAGGGAGATAACCGGCCTTGGTGGGATGTTACCTCACCTATCTGGGGCCCCCACCTCCATTTAAACAGACCCTAGGATTCTTTTTTTTTTTTTCTTTTTCTGTGCAATGGTTTATTTCCCGTCCACAACATCATCATCAACATCATCATCACCATAATCGTCGCCGCCATCATCACAGCATGAGCAGGAGATTCTTCTCCAACACGCTAACCACTACATCATTGCCCCCTAACGAAAATACTGTAAGGATATCTTGTGGTTAAATTATATCATTAGTTTATATAAATTTTTTTTCATTTCTCATTTCCCCCCCCCCCCCCCCCCCCCCCCCCCCCCCCCCCCCCCCCCCGCCCAAAAAGGTCTATTTCTCTAGTGCTGTTTAGAATCAAAAGGAAAACTTAGTTCCACACATAAACACACGAGCTGGGGCGTCTGTTTTCTAACATTAAATAACCATAGGTACTATAACAACTTTTTATAATACCTCGCCCCCATCATCACCAGCTGAGCAGGAGATTCTTCTCCAACACCCTAACCCCTTCATTATTGCCCCCTTACGAAAATATTTTAAGGATTTTTTTTGGTTAAATTATATCTTTTGTTTATTTAAATTTTTTTTATTTCCCATTTCCCCCCCCCCCCCCTCCTCCCCCTTACAAACTCCACTGTGACGAGATAGAACGTTAGTGTCAGATGCTGTTTGAAAAATCCAACGGAAGCATTGGTACCACTGGAAATCCACTGGAAGTGGCTTGTTGTTACTAAAAGTTACCCGACAATAGTATATTAAACTGACTTTTGAGAAGTGGCTAGCGAAAAGGGAAATGGCTGCCTCTCTGGACTTGAAAAGAATAACACCTGTTGTAAATTGTTGCTGACACAACCTTTTATTTTCAAAAAAATAATAATATTTTTGGTTTTCGTGGTAGAATTCTGGACTTAGTTACTAAATGGGCCAGCACCAGATAAGATCCACTGCTACTCCAGTAAGGTCCTCTGGGAACCCTGGTTTCATATTGGACCTTACTGGTTCAAACTTGACCTCTTACTTTATTGGGATTTGATTGGCAATTGGCTAATGTGGAAAGCAAACTTTTACAGCGGGGGAGCTTTTCTTTGGGCCAGTAAGGTCCAGTAAGGTCCTTGTACAGTGCTGGCCCACGCGTTTCGGCACTAGTCGTACCGGCCATTTTTGGATTTTCTTCTTCAAGTTTCATAAAGTCTGCTGGATTCGTTTCGCTAGCTCCAGGTAAGCTTCTGTGGTTTCCACATATCTATTTCAGTCCTTTTTGTGGGAACCAAACGTCTTTACTTTGGTACAACTTAAGAGAGCTAACGTTACTCGCACTGATTTAGGGCTCTTCTACTCTAGTTGTATTAGATCAATTATGGACTATGCAATACCGGCCTTTCACTTCAGTTTGCCTAAACGGTCAGTGTAAAACGCAGACTGCGGACTCCAGACTGCAGACTGCGGACCAGGGGTAAAATGCAGACTGAGTGTAATTACGTCTGACGTCTGATTCTCATTTTGCGTCCGACCCCATTTTACGTCTTATTTCTGACATCTGAAAAAATTTGTAAACACGAGCTTCTTCTTCAAATCGGTGAAATAGCTAGCCGGTATCAGTTACACACTTCGCTGCCTACTCGAAGTGAATTGCATATTCGCCAGAAGTTTCAATGAACATCCAAACAGCTTAAGTCTGCGTACCTTGATTTGCAATACTTTCATAGAAGGTCATCCAAATTTCCTGCAGAACATCTTTTCTTTGTTGTTGGAATGACTTACTATCGTTTTTATCGCCATAATTCCTGTACAGTATTTTGGGTCAGCAGCTTTCATTTAAGCGTAAACATCGTGGTGTTGTACCGGTTCACGGTCCCTGGTCACGCATATCGAAAACTTCGCATCAAAAGTTGAAGCGTGAAATCTCTCGGATGGTTGATTGCAATTATGTTTTCGGGTCGTCGACGACGTTCCAGAGAAGAAAGGAATGGATTTGTGAAAGCAGATGTCATCAAGTAAGTGTTAGTTTACATGTATTTGCGGGATTTTTTTGCCCTTAAACCCTTCCACGACTACAGTTTATGCTCGGTCTGCATTTTACCCCAGCCCGCGTTTTACTCTTAGTATAGTCTGCAGTCTGCATTTTACACTCAGTCTACATTTTACCACTGGTGCCCAGTCTGCAGTCTGCAGTCCGCAGTCTGCGTTTTACACTGACCGTTTGCCTAAATATTTAATGCAAGAATTGGAACTTATACAGAAGAAAGCAATGTCCATCATCTGCCCCGGTGTTAACTATCATGAGGCTTTTGTTATTATGAACTTTAAGGAATTAGCAACCCACCATGACAAAACATTTGAGTCACTTTTTCACACAATTGTTAACGACAACAATCACCGTCTTTATAAGTTATTACGTGCACAGCACGAATCTATACTTATTCATTAAGGCGCGAGCGACTTTTAACATGCCACGTTTTAAAACAGATCGTTTTAAGAGTAGTTTTTATCTTTTCATGTCTTTAAAAAGCAACTAACTTATAGGTTAGAGTTTTTGAATTTCATATTTCGATAACCTTTTTTAGCATCTCATCGCTTGTTAGCTTTTTTATTCCTTTCAATTAAGATAGATAAGATAATGTTTAGATCTATAATTTTATTTTTGTAACGTAAATACGCAATTCAGTTTTCAAACTGCTATGTATTTATATTTTTTTATTGATAAACTTCAAAATACTTAACGCCGCGGTACCAATTTCGTGAAAAAGTGGTGTTGAAAAGGTTACAATGGCGTGTAATATTTCTTTTTTTGCCACCTACCTTTTATCGAGGGATAATTTAAGTTCTGATTATCGCGAGACTTCGCGTGAGAATTAAGGGCAACAACAGCTAACTGCAGAGTAAGTTTTATTAACTTTTATTAAGTATTTTCTCCACTTTTAGGATCGTAATTTTACATCGTACAAACACTGTAGTTTTTCAGAAATCGTACTGTGGTATGTATTGTCACAGGGCCTGGTTACCCGTGGCTTTACCAAATCTCTCGCGAAAAAGACAGCGCGCGCGATGGAGTGCACATTCCAGTTACTAAGACCTGAAGCATTCTGTCAATTTTAGTGTCATATTAATTATTTCTGACATCATAGCCAATTGGACTATAAAAGTTGGTTTTTGCTATGATAAATATATAAATATATGTAAAAAGTTTAAATCTATAAAAAAAAGCATATACCAATGGCCTTTATGCGTGTCAAGGCAAGATGAGCAAAATTCATTTCGTTTGCGAACATTCTTCACATTAGCACTCTTTGCGTAAGAGCATTCTTGTAAAAACAACTATCGTGGGAATTTATTTCAGTACCAAAAAAAAGCTTCGCTTATTACGATTTTCGAAACGAGGTTCAATGGTGCAATTTGCTTCTGTGACGCAAACATGCATTTAAGTTAGGGCTATTGTACTGACGGTACTATATATAAGTCTCAGTGGTCCATTGTCATCGGGTTTTAAAACAGAGATTTTGGTCTTAACAGGGCAATTAGGCTCCTTTAGTTCCAAAGTTTGATAAAGCTATTTACCAGATAAATCTCTATTCAGTGGATAATGCAATTGGTTTCCCTAATACTCAGTATCCGCTGGAGAGTGATTTATCCGTCGGATGGCGCTATCCGACGTTTAAACAAACGGGCCTTGGATTTTAACGCGTCACCTTAATAACATACTTTAGATCAACCTACTCCCTTCAGATAGCTATACTACACTTCTCCTAGACTCCTCTATAAAATGCGTGGACCCTTGAAGTCACACTGACTAGCATTTTCGTTTATTAGATTCTGTGAACAAGAAGACTTACTGGACAGGAACTTCCTTCAATTTTTTACTAGAGTTTTGTATTTTTAACCTCTTCACTGCTGTTCTTGTTTGTTTGAGCCTTAACTTTCAAACCTCTTTTCTTCCAAAAGTATTTGAATGTTTCTCTGTATCTTGGAAGCCGCCATGAATATAATATTGGATTCAAGCCCGAGTTTGCGTAAGTTAAACTGCCCGAAAATCCAAAGAAAATCATAAGCAAAGCCAAATGAGGGTGGCATGGTTTACACAAATATATCAATAGTTGAACTATAAACCAGGGCATGTAGCAAATAAGAAATGCACAGATGACGATTGTTATTGCTTTGAAGAGCCTTTTTTCCCTCTGGAGGATAACGAGAAGACTGTTTGGAGAATGAATTGGTTTATTCATTCTTGTTTTTGAATACCTACGTAATCTAATCGTGATCACAGTGTACATTATGAGCATGCTTACAAGGATGGAGAGAAGTTGTACATTGTAGACAGCTCCCATTATGGCAAAATAATCCCTCAGCATCAGGAATGAACACCCAAATGCCAAAAAATAGATCCAGCAAACACAACTTGCAATGACTGCTCGTTTATTTGTTATTATAACACGGTACTGGAGCGGTTTAACCACGGCGAAAAGCCTATCCACTGTTAACAGGAACATGTGGCCAAAGCTGACATTCACCGAAAACACGTTTATGGCAAAAATTACGGAGAGGTCAAAAGGCGATGTTCCTTTTTCAAATATTACCCAGCCCCAATACGCCGTGATTGGACAAACAACAAGCCCAACCGAAAGATCAGCGAGAGCCATGGAGACCAAAATGAAATTTGATGGTGATGATCGAAGTTTCTTTAGCGGATCTTTCCAAACTGCCAGCAAGACAAGCAAATTGCCAAGCACTATTATGGGCGCCATGACTATCGAGAGAACAGAACTGGTAGCCGACAGAGGCTTGACATTCTCTAAATGTAGCCATGCATCTTGTAAAGCTTTCTCGCTTGTTATGTTCCAAAAATTGTAATGACCGACGACGGCCGCCATTAGAAGTGGTCAAAAGCTACTTTTTTACGTCCGCTGACCTCACTTTTTTCTTGCGGATGTGATCTCAGCCTACACTGTACACTGTCTTCTGAGCAACATTTACTCCTTCCCTAGAACTATTCGACTTTCGCGTGAAAATACTTGATGCAAGTTGAATGATTTACATTTTAATTTAAAAAAAGATTATTGATATTGACCGTCTTCATTGTATTGTAGGTTGGGCAGGAAGAACTCAGAACGAGCTTCTTAATTGGCTAAAGAAACAATAAATGAATGACCCAAGCAAACTCACTAGCCCGAGAACAGTAGCAGGCCTGTTTTAAAGGCCAATTAAAAGTCTTTGTGGCTCCAGCCTTTGATGGTCTTGCATCTGACTTCAAGTTTAAAAATCAAAGCACTACTTTTCGTCCACTTGTGATCGATTTTGTGTTGTTGTTTTGCTTTGTCATCTTTTTCGTTACCCTTAGCATTGCGACTCAGCCAGTAGCGGAAAGAGCTCTCTTCCTCTCTGTCTCTCTAAACGTAATAAATATAATGAATTTTCAAACTAACCCGTAACAGATATTATATTGTTAATGCTTCAGATATATTGCTCTTTGGTTTTTTGTTCTCGTGCTTTCAATTATTGGCCTTAATACACACAAAAAGCTCACTGGTAATAGTTACACACAAGAAAAAAGATGAACAATTGTTATAAAGTATTGCATTAAAGCTTTTGAATCCTTAAGCTGTTTTCGTGTGTGGGATTTTAATCCCGATAACAACACAAAGGAAATAACTTCACTGAACTGGAAAACCACCAGTGATCCACGTGACTGAAGCTATCAAAATTTTCAAATCAACTTTCAATAAACATCAATTTCTCGACCACAATTTCGAATGATAACCCTCAGAAAGTTTAACAAGATAGAACAAGGGGAAGCTAATAAGTACGGTAAAATCACGTTCCAGTTAGGGTGTGAGTAGCAAAAAGACACTTACAAAATATACGCACAGCCTGTGACCAAAATCCTGAGTAAAGAAATGACCGAAGTGTGCAGTGTATAATTTTGGTGCTCATGTATTCAGTGAAAGTTAAAGATCGAGTCACGTTTACTATGCAAATGAACAACATTCTCGCATGTTCGAGACATGCGTCAGTAATAGCGTAAGAGCCGATAAACGTCATTAACAGTTAAAAACCAGCCTGATCTGTTACTGACCCATGTTATTTTAACGCATAGCACACATGATCACCGATTTCTTAGGCACCAGAATAAATGAACGCTGGGTAATTCTTGAACTACAAGAGTTACAGTGTATCTTATATTGGTGGAAAAAGGGAAGACTAAAAAGTCACCTATTTTATTTATAAAGGATTTAGTTTTATCGTTTGCCTCACGATTGTCACTTTGATATTGATCGCGACGTTTCGACCACAGTGTGCGGTCGAAACGTCGATCTCAATATCAAAGAGACAATCGTGAGACAAACGATCAAACTAAACCCTTTATACACATTATCCACGATGATTAATATCTTCATGACATATTTTATCCACTTCTACCTTTCAGTAGTTATTGCATAAATTAAGCTTGTAATTTATCAGATAATATATATTTTATCGTTTCCACTCAAGAACTTAATTGCCCTTTGCTTTATTTGAGACATTGTTCGCCACTGAATCTTTGGGCACAAAATTAAGACAAAGCGGACAAGCGGACTAAAAAAGTTACCTTTATATTCGTTTTTATTGTGCTAATAATGCATGACTTGAAAACGGACAATTCAAAACAAGAGCGTTGATGCAAGGAAAGCAGAGTCGATATAGCATTGATACCAAGTACTCTATGAGAACTGGAAAATTCGAAGCACGGATTGATTGGGTGTATGATTATTTTAGTATATATCAAATACTGTGCAGTATTGTGTTGCTTACGCTCATCCGCCGAAGCTACGGGAGAATCCATAGTAATAATTAAAGTCCAAGTATCACGCCTTTATTTTCAAAAGTTTACTTTGTAAATTAAAAGCATTTTTAAAGATAATAAAGGGGATTTCTTGCTTCAAGATATCGATTTAGTAACTTTGATTTAACAAGAAAATTCTTCCATTTTGCGTCATGACGTCCAAATGTGCTAGGAATAAAAAAAAATGGCAAACCAGTTGCCGGCGAGTGCCTCACGTGATGTTCTTACCACAATTGGAAGCTTTCTGTAGTCTGTTGCTGAAGCAAAGCAAAATGGAATCTATTTTTAAGAGAAATTGTCTGCTCGAAGATTTGAGCCACTTTTCGTTTGGGCTTCGTTTTTGCTTTTTTGTTACTGTAAACTGAGTGCGCGTGAACTCTTTAGCTACTGAGTGCGGTTCTTATACCAAAATAGCTAACTAAGCTGCCACGCTGCTGTCTCAGCAGAGTGAACTCACTAACTGTATATTGCCTATATTAATCATTGACGTCAATAAGTATATATTTACCCGCATGGTCCAAATATGATCAGCGCCCACTGGTTTTGGAAAATTAGCCAGGGGAATTAAAAGCCAATCAAAAACGGTGAAACATTTTGAATGAATAAGACTTCTTTACAATGCGTTTTTTCTCTTTACTTATGCCCTTGCTTAGTAGTTAGTTTTTGTAATTTACGGCTGAAAATGAGAAACTTTCCTATTCTCTTTCCTGTTCTTTTTTTTTTGTGGACAAGTCAACCACTGTCATCAAAAGTTGAATTGTTCACAAGTGCACATGACCACACCCCGCACCTAATTATAACTACAGTCAGTTCGGTAAAACCCGGGGGTGGTGCACTCAAGAAATGTTAGATGTACCTCCGAGGCCTTCAAGCTTAGACCCTTTTTTGGACCAAAGTTCTTCATTTCGCTACCCTGTTTAAGACGCGACACTTTATTTCATGACCCTGCTGATTAATTTTTTTTTCGCACAGAGAGTAAGGTAATTTTTAAACTATCGCCATTAAATTAAGTTTTTGAAATTATAATAACAATAGTAATAATAATAATATAATAATAACAATAACAATACCCGAAATGTAGACGACTTATTGCCAACAACCTTAGAGTGCTGTTAAAACAGTCAACTCTTGTTTCACAGAGACTCTTACAAGAAGGATGCCTTCCTAGAGAAAAAAAACTGAGAGTTGAATAATAAAATTGATATTTGCTTTCTTTTAAGCTCTGTTATAATGAAAACTTTATGTAACAGAATCCACGGATTCGTCACAACGGTGTCTGTCATCAGTACAGATAGTTCGCTGTAATTACATATTTCTAACCTTTATACTTTTATCTGCCAAAAGCGGCCAAAGTCATCATTCGACAAAATTTCTAATTTTGTTTTCTAAAATGTTAATAAAACAATAGTACGAGGTGAAGTTACCGCAAAAGAGTTTTCATTTCAATAGTCACACTACAGGATTTCAACCAATCAGAAGCACTACACACACCTGAGTAGCGACACCTCATCAGTATGGAATTTCTGCGCTCGTTCCTCAGAAGTCAATTGGCGGGAAAACCGCTTGATGGCGCTGCGAAACGTTGGCTTATTTCTCACGATAAGAAACAGCTGGAACATATGTTACATTTTGGCACTTTTTATAGGAGCGCTTTGCTCTGAGTATATAAACAATACATCTACTAAACAATAGTTTTAAATAATTTGTTTTTAATTAAACCATTGGTTACCCGGCACTGTTTAATGAAAAAAGGGTAGCATTAAGACCTAAAACTGAGTTTGTTTGGTTGCAAACTTTCAGGACGAAAAGGCCGTGCACATATTTTGGTAACTGTAATTAAAAGATCGTCGAGTTTGTTTTCAGTAAACGGTCATAAGTTATTAAACAACAAACGTCAGTTTAATTAAAGTCTTTAAACACCTTTCTTGACTGTTAACATGTATTATTGCCTAATAATTCAGACATGCAATTTGCTTTTCTTGCCTTTATCCCGATAAAAACACACTTTTGGGTCATCAAGTTGCTGTTGTTATTGTTTTTGTT